CGTCAGAGTCTGTCAGCTGTAAATGTTGAAGTATTCAGAAGTCCTGCATGCTGAGGAGGAGGGATACATGTTGTGAAAAGTCTCAGTGATGTTGTTCTACTTTATCATCACTTATGGACTACCTCTTGTCCAATCAGATTGCTTGATCAGAACTGTTGTATAAATCGTGTTAATGTTGTGAATTTGGCTTTATCTCGATTGTGGGTTTTTTTTATGACCTCTGCAAGCCAAAATCGTAAATGAAATTGAAGCTCCATTAATCTCCAGCCCTAAGATCAGACATTGTTCAAATGTTTTTATAACCAAAAATAAATTGGTTGTGTTAGAACAGGTGTGTCACAGTTAAATGTGTTCCTGTGATGTGTTTATTTTAGTTTAAGTTGGCTTTTTATTTGTGTTTATTTCAGTTTGCCTTCATACTGTTTTCTTTATGAATTTTTACTCTTGTGTAACAATTACTGAGACAAGTTCTGCTGACTTTCCTCTCTGCATCTTCAACTTGAAAATAAGAGAGTGAAGGGTTTTTAGTGAGGGGCTGATATTAAACCACATCACTGTGTTTCTGGCAGCACAGAAATACACAGCTGAGTCTGATGGAGTCACACTGGGAATAATCAGAGCTCCTGTTGTAACGTCTTTTTTTGTCATCTTAAACCGATCCTTGAACTTCTCCTCATAGTCGGGTTCACTGCTAGTGTAGCCGTATCCGATTAAATCCATCAGGCCGCTTTGTGTTTGCTGGTACCAGAGCATCACATTAAGATTTTCATCATTGTGACTGCAGTTAAATTCTACCCGGGCCTTTTCAACGACTACTTTTGGATGCGATGGTTGAAACGTCACACTCGTTGCTCGATCTGTTGAGAAAACACAGTTTAAAAAGTACTTTAGACAAAAAAGACATGCAGAAATAACAGATGTATTTTCTGTTAATAACTTAAAGAAATAATTAAATTTGCTTTTTAAGTTGATATGATTACATGGAAGCAGGATGAGTAGAAATCCAATCACAGCTGGAGACATCCTTGATGCTGTCTAATCTGTAAATGCCTCATCAGCAGAGAATGGAGGGGGGTGTTTTTAGTGAGGGAGTGGCATTGAACCACATCACTGTGTTACTGGCAGCACAGAAATACACAGCTGAGTGTGACGGTTGTGCTTTGCTTATGATCAGAGCTCCTTTCTCTGGGCCGTCTCTTGTCAGCTTGAATTGTTCTTCAAACTGACCCTCATAAGTGGGGGAGCTTTCATATCCGTAGCCAATGAGGGTCAGAGACGTGCCGCCCTTTCTCTGTTGATACCAGAGCATGTTAACAAGAGAAGTGTCATTATGGCTGCATTTGATCTCGACCGCTATGTCCTTCTGCACTATCTGTGGATCAAACTTCACAAATGTCACAGCGCACGCCTGACCTGTGGAGGAAGCAGATTTAGATTAAACAGAGACAATACACCATCTCTATAACTCAACGTGTGTGTGAGTGTTATAAACATGTTGAATAGTTTAATGTGACTGAGTAGAGAGCTTACATAAAAACAAAGTGAAGAGAAAACCAACTGTGTTCATAAGTGAAGACATTGTTGAGCACTAATGTGGGGAAAGCTGTGATAAGAGTGTCAGTGTAAAGAGGGAGGGGTCTGTGCGGTTTGATTCATAAAAGATTCATCCATGTGCTGTGCCTCCACCTGTTGGCTGAATTTATTCAGGACAGGAATCTCTACGGCTGCTGTAAATCACTGAGGTTCTTCTTAAGCACAGTATTTTTAATCTTTCTTCTTTCTCCCTCCATAAAACAAATATTCTGTTATTTTAAACCTGGGGCCATTTTTTAAAACATATTTTGATGTGTACAAACAAATGTGCTTGTTAGAAATTACTCCAGCAGATTATTTCAGTTTGCAGATACAAAACAGGCTGAAGGGGCTGCACCACGTAATCCTTGCAAACTGACCCTAATCAGTTACTCTCTCTAAAAATGCTTTTAGGGACACTCACACACCACAACTGTGATTTAGTGTCTGACAAGATTTCATAAAGTTCCCTGGGGAGGAAGACCCCTTTGTGCTATTTATACCTTTATTTTAGAGATGGGTCAGAGGATAGAGAGAGAGAGTGGGGAACGACCTGCGGTAAAGCAGCCACAGGTCGGATTCAACCCCGGGACATCCGCTCTGGAGGGCTTAAGCCTCTGTACATGGGGCGCGCGCTTCAACCACTGGGCTACCAGCGCCTCAGAGGTACCCCCTTTCACAGAGTCCAAAACAAAGGGCAAGGTTTACAATCCACTCACACGGATTTGTAATCTGTCTGCACAATTTTACAATCTGTTTATGCAAATGCATTTCCACGTGCACCCATTGGTTAACTGTGGGAACGGATTTGTAACTGTCTTTTTGTTTTTTCATACCTCAGCCTTCGGGGGCACAGCTCCTACTTATGAAAGAGGAAGAATGTTTTTGGGAAACTGGAAACCGCTGTTTTATGACTGCGTTTAAATTCACCAGACTCCTTTTTAAAAACACATTTACACTGGAGAGGCTAGGCTGCTGTTTTGTTGATCAGTGAGTTTTCCTTTTTAAACAAACATTTGGTAGGATGGGGTGCTGGTGGCACAGTGGTTAGTGCGCGCACCCCCATGTATGGAGGCTATCGTCTCAGGTTCACATCCCACCTGTGGCTTCTTTCCTGCATGTCGTTCCCCACTCTCTCTCTCTCCTTGATTTCCGACTCTATCCACTGTCCTATCTCTCCATTAAAGGCATAAAAAGGCCAAAAATAAATCTTGTAAAAAAAAATACATTTGGTATGATCCAAAATGACCCTCGGAGAACGCCGACATCAAACAACGATGCAAAAATACAAACGTCCAAGGCAGCAGTGGACCCTCATGTGCCATGAGGTAAAACCAAGGTTTTCTTGAGCTGACTCTGGTGTCTTAAAGAAAGTCTAGAGTGTAACGTCTTTAACTATAGTCTCTCTGTGTATAGATCGTCTCTGTAACGTTGTCAGACTGTATCTGTACCCCAGCAGAATGTATGGATGTGGACAAATGTGCGTGAAAGTGTGTTTTTAGAATCTCGTATCTGTATTTTATTTCTTGCACTTTATAAAGTTTTCTTTGCACAGACTGAATTTTATTATACTCGTACAATGACAAATAAAGCTATTCTATTCTATTTAATCAGAGAACTCTTTATATCTATAAGGAAAGTTTATTTCTATAGCACATTTCAACAACAAGGCAATTCAAAGTGCTTCACACAAGACATCAAAAGCATCATGATAGAGGAAAGAAAAGAAACATTAAAATAGAAAATTTAAAAAAATCACTGAAATTATTAAATCTGAACATATGTTCAAATAAAAATAATTCAAATGAAATTAATTGAAATAAATAAAGTGAAAATCTAAAAAGAGAGTTTAAAAAGATTAAAATCTTATTAAAATTGTTTAATGAAGAAATGTAGAAACAAGGCCCGGCCTCCCAGGTTGATGAATTAGAATAACCTTTAATTTAAAGATCAAAATATGTAATCTAAGTCTCAGGTATTATCCTCCTCCATGTGTTTTCCTTCATTTGATTACTCTCAGTGTGAGTCAAGTGTCAGAACAACAAAGAGCTTCCCTGCAGTATGTTCTTGTCACAGGTCTGAGGTGTGCCACAGCACCGTGTAGACTAGCAGCACACAGATAAACCGCCTCGTCTTTCCTCTGAACGCTCTCTATCGACAGAGACCACTGCTTCTCCTCCTTCTTCTGTCTCACCGCCTGGTAACCAGATTTGAAATCCTCTTCAAAGGTTGCAGAGCCAGCTGATACCATCACCATTAACTGGAAACTTTGTCCTCTTAGCTGTCGATACCAGTACAGATATGGATAATCTGTCTCATTCTGGTAACAGTGCATCTCAGCTGAGCCGTTGGGATGTCTTGAGATGATTTGGGGCCACTGAGTGATCAGCACAGACTGAGAAACATCTGAAACACACAAAACACAAGAGAACAGATCATTCTCCTCAGGTGAAAGCATTAATTCTCTTCAAAGCTTTTTATTTAACTCCAGATGATGTTCCTGTTTTAGTCTTTATAGACGTTTACCTGCAGCCCAGAGCAGAAAGAAAGTCCAGGTGATGATGCCGGGGTTCATCCTCATTCAGGAAGAGTCAAAGAGTGAACATTCAGTGAGCTAACTCTTGTTAGATACGCGGGGAGGAAATGACATCAGAGTTTCTCCTGTGTCCAATAGGCTCTCATAAAAACAACACATTTCACCTGGGGGGGCGGGGCCTTTCGTTTGAGTCACACCTTGTTGTGAAATCTCACAAAATCATAACCGAAAAAAGTGTTTATACGTGCACGCCTGCACGATGTAAGAAATTTTTGTAAATAAACATGTGCGATATTTTTCAAAACAAAGAGTGCATATGAGCTATAACTCACAGTCACCTGTGTTTGCAACATCTCATTTCTAAACCCTAAATAAATCCCAAACACTGCTTTTTACTACTCTTAATGGTTACTGATTAATCTGAGAGTAGTTGATAGTTAGCTTAGCTTCATGTTTTGACAGCATGGACGTTCTACCCAAGCTTCTGTACATCTGGTAACAAACTGAGACTTTTGATTGTTGAAAAACAAAGTCCCATTTCCTCTTTATTCCACGGTGTAGGTTTGAAGCAGCAGGTGTGTGTTTGACACAGTGAGCTGCTGTGTTTTTGTAAAAGGAGTCAGAGGAGATGAAGCACCGTGCTGACTGGCTGCACAGAAATACTCTGCACTGTCTGCCGGGTTTATCTGAGAGATAACCAGCTCAGTCGCCCTTTGAATGACCTGTGATATTAAAACGTGCCTCAAAGTTCTTCTCCATGTTTGCCTTTTCATAATGAAGCAGTCCGATCAGCTCCATGGCCCTGTGGCCTCCTCCAGCTGCTGACTTGTGCTGGTACCAGAGCATGTAGGGATAGGCGTTGTCTCCATGGTTACAGGAAAGTCGGGTTTCCTCTTGTTCAGGTTTTATCAGCTGGTTTACGGGCGTTTGTTTGATCGTGAGGGAGAACACAAAGTCTAGAGGACAGAAGGAAAGTAGAGATGATGAACATGAAGGTTTGATGGTGTGATGAGAAGAACGACAGATGGTGTGAGTCTCTTACCTGAGAGCAGAGAGAGAGAGAGAAACAAAATGAGAGACATTTCACACAGAGAGGAGCAAAGACATAAATGAAAACTCAGTGATGGGAGATCTCCCTTTATCGTACATGATGAAGGAGGAGGAGCTCACAGCTGTCTTCATGTCAGCGTGCTGTCACTGCTCTCTGCTGTTCAGTTTTACATTTAATCATAAAACACAGAGCAAATAAACGACTCACCTTCACTGAGAAATAACTTCTATCCTTGTTACTTTATCCACAGAGACAAACGCTGTATCACTTTTCACTGATCATGTTGTGTCTCATGTAGATCTTGTGCAACATCTGGTTTGCTTTTTATGTTTTGTATCTGACCAACAAACTGATATTAAATGCTGAGAGATATTCTTATGGCACTGAAGTTTATCTAAAGCTTTTTTTATGCTGGAAATGCTGTCTCAGTCTAACTTTCAGTCAACCTAACGACAGGCTGAGAGCTGGAGCTGAGGCGGGTTTTAAACCCTGACAACCGTTACACCGTTCCGCGCCACCTGTCAATCAGGTCAGCTACACGCCTTATTGTGTGAATAACTTCTTATCCTTCATCAAATCAAAACTGATGATCATCAAAACATTCACCCCCCTCCCCCCCCGTACAGTGTGTGTCCATCGAGACATGAGCTAATCACACTATTTGTGATTTTTTTTTTTAGGTTGTTGTTAAAGCTGAAATCAGAAGCCCGTCCTTCTTGATTTTGATTGGTCGGTTATAGGAGAAGTGACATTCTTCACAGAGAGCGCTCAGGAGGGTGAGCAATAAAACGCTGAACTACATTGTTTTTTATTTTTTTATTTAAACAGCCCAACCAGTGGAAAAAGAATATTCTGTGGACACAGGCCCTTATGGTGCTTCCTAATATCAAAGATCCTTAATGGTGTACTAATCAAACCCTGGTCCCGATCCCTCCCCTTATCTCTAACTGATGATGTGACTGCATCAAACCAGAATCCAACCACTAAAGCAGGTGTCTCCGAGCAGTTCAATCCACGTCTTATTTAAAACCTCGGATGAGAAAAAACCCACCGAGGGTTTTGTAAAGTTCCCGGGGTCTTTTCATCAGCGTGCTTCTCTCGCTGCACAGTAATAAACTGCACTGTGCTCTGCTTTCACTCTTTTGAAAACCAGAGAGCCGTTCTTTTCTGTGTTTCCTCCAAATCTCCAGTCATAGTAAATCTGCTTCATATGTGGCTTCATGGTGACTGCTTTAACGTTCAATACCCGATGAGTTTCATAGCTGTGTCTCCAGGTGAGCGCTGGTACCAGAGCATCACCCGGTAGTCGTTTTTTTATGGCTGCAGAAAATCTGCACTTTGTCTCCAGGTTGTGTCAGAACATCAGAGGGAGACTGAAGGACCTCCAGAGCCAGACCGCTGAGCACAATAAAACAGAAACACATATTAAATTAGAGCTGGAAGAATTAGAAGAAAAACTTCAAA